CTAGAGAGAGTAGGTGCTGGAATAATGGTTGTTCCTGTTTCCACCTCAAAACGGCTGAAGAACTGATTTAACTACTCAGCCAAAAAATCACTGCTGCTGCCCAGACTGTTTTTGTTACTCTGCCCCGTGATTTGTGGCAGGCCTTGCCATACCCGACGAGTGTCAGAGCTCTCAAGATGTTGCTCAATCCTCCGACTGTGCATAGCTTTGGCAACCCTAATACCCCTTTTCAATTGAGCTCTGGCCTCTCTATACTGTAGCACATCACCAGAATGAAAAGCAGCAGTTCCAGCTTTTAGTAAAAGGGGTCCTTCTCTATTTAGCCAAGGCTTGTTATTAGAAAACACTCATACTTGTCTGGTGGTCATAACAACATCGATACAGCTTTTGATATAAAACGGTACTGTCGAGGTATAAATATCAACATTGTCGTCCTCAAACAGTGCCCATTCAGTGCTCCTAAAGCCGTCTTGAAGTTGCTCAGATGCACCCACTGGCCCCACTTGTATTTCTCTAGTTGATGGTCTGATTCTGTTAACAAGAGGTCTGTATGATGGAATCAAAAAGAGATATATATGATCTGACTGTCTTAAACTAGGCAATGGCTTCATCTTATATCCATGCATGATGTTACTTTCCTGTTTCCCCTTAAATAACACGTAACCTTAAAAGAAGCCCTAGTAGGATTTTTCAGGATGCTTGTCATATAAGCCCTACCCCAAAACTAAGCCCCAGTTAAGTGAAACCCTGCCCTCCATCCTTGTGTAGCAACCAGCAGAAGGGGATAGGACTGTCTTTGAATAAATGTAGATTGTTGTACAGTATATGAAAATACAATAAAACATCCCCTGAAAATAACCCCCATGCATTTTTGGAGCAAATAATAATAATAATAATATAAGGCCCTGTCTTATTTTTGGGGAAACATGGTATATACCTGATCCAAGGTATTTCCCCCTCTAGTGGGACAGTCTACATACTGATAAAACGTAGGCAGGACCGTCTTTAAATTGGCTTGAAGCCCGGCTGGATGGCCTCCCAAAGGTCCTTGGGCCTTGCCGGGGCTCATGCCCTCTGCGGTGGCACGGGCTCTGTCTGGGGCCTGCCTGTGGCATGGGTGGGGCCCCAAACCACACCCAGGGGAGCATGCAGGACAGCCCCAAGCCTATTTCTGAGCAGCCCCTGAGCAGCAAACGGGGAGGGTGAGGGCAGAACAGCCCCTGAAGCAGCAGGCCCTGAGTCACGCTTCCCTCTCCAGAATCCCTCGTTCAGTCCAGAATGTCTCGCTCGCTTGCTGGCCACCCACCGCCAGCCCCCTTCCTCGCCACGCTCCTTGTGCAGTGGGAATCCCGGAGCGTAATGGAAGGGCTGCTCTCCCCCCCCCCGAGACCCACAGACCCCCTTGGGAGACCGAACTCCTTCCGTGGGAAATGGCGCTTCGGCCGCTGCTTCCTTCCTGCGTGTTCCTTCTTTCTGCTCCGTGTGGACGAAGCCAGCTCTTTTTGCTGCCCTGCCAAAGAGAAACGGCATTCAAGGCTTCTCAGCAACCGGTTTCTATTTTGAACAGATGAGGGGGCAAGGAAGCTGAGGCGTGTCGCTGGGGGAGGCTGGCATTTGGAGGGAGAAGGCTTTGCTGTGCGTGCGTCGTGTGTTGGCTGATTCATGGCAAGCTCACCTCTGTGCCCCCCCCACCC